ATAGTTCCTAGGAACTGAACTTGGATCCTCTGCAAGAGTAGCAAGAACTGAACTCTCTCTTGCCCCAAGATGTTCTTTTAATACATGTGTGACCCATATAAAGAAAGAATAATTAAGGGGATATTGTATTTATTTTCCTTTGCACACACTTCTATGCCAGGTCCCTAATGCATCCTGATGGACAGATAAAAGAACCTGAGGACCATATAAATTCTTGAGAGCTGATAATGGGAACAGTAACCCTTGAATGAGATAAATGGTAAAACAACTCCATGTGGCCTCTTGAATTTCAACATGTAGCCAGCTGCACTTAAGCCGTGGCAGTCAACTGTGACAGGAGAACCTCTAAAACAGTAAGGAATGAAACAGCTTCAAGGCAGAAGAAACGGGATCCGGGGGTAAGGTCAGAATAATTGCAAAGAAACATGGGATGTAGGGAGTGAGAGTTTGAAGACTGCATGGGTGATTCTCACTAAGCCTTACTGCTGGAGAATGGCAAAGGATAGCGGCACCCCTTGCTTAGATCAACGTGAACAGTCCAAGGCTTCCTAGGAAACACTCCGATACTTCAGGCGTGATATCACTTACTGACAGGAAATGGTTTATAAAATATGCCTGCCAGATGCTGAATCTACTAAACCAGTTTTAATTGAAAGTGACAGACAGCAAAGCACAGAGATGCTATGCAACAAAACTAGACATTACTATTAGCTCTATGCAATCATTAATGTCATCTGATGATGCATGGCTCAGCATGCTAACCCATTAACAGATACCAAGCCTGCATGCCCCGAGTCAAGACAAAGGTCTTCTTTCAGCTACAGCTCCACCACAGCAAGTAAGACCTCTTTATCTGCATTTGCATTTTTCTTTGTTCCTGTTGTGTACATAACATAAGTGGTCATTTGTGGTAGACAAGTAGCTTTCGGGCTGTGGAGACCGCTCAGTGGGCCAAGCTCTTACTGGGAATGCTCCACATGCGTGAGGGCTCTAGATGGGAACTCCAGAAGCCACCTAAGGTGAATGCAACAGCACCTCTCTGCCATCCAAGTGTTCCCACTGTGAGGTGGGAGATGGCAACTGGAGAAGTTCCAGATGCTCATTGGTGAGCTAGCATGGGGTGAATAAGAGATCCTGACTCAAACATGGTAGAAGGGGATTACTAGCATCCAAAGCTGTCCTCTGATCATCACACACATAAAGTGGCATACATGTCTCCCACACAGACAGGCAGACAGACAGACAGACAGACAGACAGACAGACACATTCATATGCCCACACACATGTACACACTGATTTTTAAAAAAGGAACAAAGGACAGCAGCTTTCAGAAACAATTCATGAATTCACTAGTTTGTTTACCCAGGACCCAAGTCTGATACACATACAAAACATGTAAGACTTTGTATGACATCAGTACTCTGGGGGAGTTGCTGCTTTCTTCATGAATTGATCCCTCAAGGCCCCTTATTCAAAGGATGTATATCTGCCCTTTGGAGATAATGGACCTGCGATTGTGCCTCCATGTGAGTCTAGCAAGGCACAAAGACTTCATTTATTTGAGGTGAGATAAAGAGGCTGGGCCTTTGCCCATCACCATCTTCACCTAGGAGGAAAAGCTGTGCTAAGCTTGGCTAATTAGAGGAGCACACATTGAATACACTAAAGAAGTGAGAAGGTGAGAACAATTACAGAATTTTACATGGATACAGCATGAACCAGTCATAAAACATGTTCAGCCATGTTTACCACCAGGAAAAGGGTTAAATGCCATCACATCTGGAAAATTTGATTGTGCAATGACACACACAGAAGCCACTGTAACATCACCCCTACCTCTAAGAACTCACCTCTGGAAGGGCTTCCTCACCTATGTGAAAAATCTGATCTCAGAAGCACTTCTTTATTTTCCTTCTTTGACTTTATTAAGTAATGGAATTGTTTGAGCACCTTAGTTATGCCTTCTACCTTCTTTCATCAAGAATCTAATGTATGGCTTCTATAAAGGAGTCAGTTTTTTCCTTCATCAGCCTTCTTGTAAATCAACCTTCCATTGTAAGCCATAGAAATCTCTGAGAAAGTAGCACAGTAACAATTTAAAAATTAACATCTGCCCATGAAAAATATTTCTATACCTCTGGTTATTAACACATATAAAGGAACCGTCAGCCCAGGGTAGAAAAAGATAACATTGTGAATATAAAAGTTTAAATTCGAGGGCTGGAGAGAGAGCTCTGCTGTGAAGAGCAAGGAGTGTCCTTGCAGAGATCCTGAAATCAACTCCCAGCCTCTACCACAGATGCCTTGCAACTGTCTGCAACTCCAGCTCCGAGAGTCCCAATGCCCTTTTCTGGCCCCCACAGGCATTGCACTCATATGCACATACTCACACACAGACACATACACATAATTAAAATAAATCTTTTTTTAAGTTTTAAAGTTCAACATAATAATTTGGATTACTATGTAAATCATTATATGACCATTCCACTGCCAAACGTGTCCAAAGGTATATTCTTCCATGCTAATATCAAGGAGTTTACAGAAACTTGAATGGAGCCGTATAAACAACCACTCCTAGCAATGCCTTCAATACTAAATCTTGATGTGGGAAAGGCCATCAAAAATAGTTCAATGATCCCAAATTATCATGTAATTATCTGTCATATGTCCCCTCCCTAGCTGATATTTATTAGTTCTCTGGCTGTAATTGCAGCTGACCTTTGAAAGGCCGTTTAAGCTCTACATAAGAAACCTGATTACAGTAGGAAATATCCTCACAAAAGCAGGATGGGAAACCAACTGCTATTTATTGTACATATAATTATCTTCTCTTTCAGCCCAGGATGGAGTTCGGACTCTTGTGTAACTCAAATCTGTGTGGGATTGTCATTTGATTTACAACTGGTGACCTAGCATCACCTAGCATCATATGAAAATAATTCAGTGCGTCTTCTGTGGCCCATCCTGGAAATCAATACCTTGAATATAGAGATGTCTCAATTAGATAGTGCAAGGAGTGAGCCCTGCCCCCTTTCCTTCCTGTATCATTAAAATGGTAAATATTCCACAGCAGCGAACTGGAGAGCCTCCGTTATTACTGGCTGCTACACATCAAGTGAGAGTTCACACGAAGGAGAGAAGAATTGAGGGTAAGGGGGTATAAGTTATGGCATGAGAGGGGAGGGCCATGGAAATGTTAAGGTATTTATAGGTGCTTCTCTATACCACCTGAGTAATTTCATGTGTTTGACAGAGTATTAAATTACAGTAATGAATCCAGATGAGTCATCCATCCTTCCTGCCATGTTCTTTGAAGCCCTCAAACCAAGGACGTGAGCAGCCACAGTGTGTGTTAGCCATCACAGTGAGGGAAATGATCTCAACTGAGGGCTCTCTTCTCTCTCTCTCTCTCTCTCTCTCTCTCTCTCTCTCTCTCTCTCTGCAACACATATAAAAACTTAAGGCAGAGGCTGGGGAGACTGCTCAGCAGGTAAACCAATTGCTGGACAAGTGTAAGAACCTGAGTTCAAATCCCCAGAACAGACATAAAGGCAGACAAGAGAGACCATGTGCCCGTACACCTCCTAGCACACCCATGGGAAAACAGGAGGCAGACATAAGAGAATTCCAGGAATACTATGGGCCAGATAACCTGGTGCACACAGGAGGGGGAAATCAAGAAGAGACTGTCTCAGAGAAGGTGGGATACAAGGACTAAGACTCAAGAGTGTCCTCTGACTCATATGTGTGCCAAGGCATGTGTGTGACCCCACCACCACAGAGGGAAGGAGGGGAGGAGGGAGGGACAGAGGGAGATAGTCGACTGTTCCATTTCATAATGGAAATACAGGTTCCCACACTGTGCTCATGAACATTAACATTTTAGGACAACATCTCAAGCATGTCACAGCCTAGGATGACCTCAGTCTAGTAATGTGGAATAAAATAGCTTTCCAGGTTTATTGAGGAAGGTGGACTATCCCTCAAGGAATAACTGAACCTGGACCAAGGACTTTAATGCACAATGTGTTTACTCCTTTAGCACTGAACAGATTTTAACACAGGAAATTGTGCCATCACGGGGCCCTATATTAACTGACTGGAATCCAAAGCTTTCTGACTGAGATAAAATGAAGTCTAAGAAGTGCTTCTTTTTCAAAACCCTCCTTCCAAATTGTAGTCATATTTGTTTTAAAAATTTTGATTTTTGAATTATGTAGAGTGTGTATTTGTATGTGGAAGGGGTACATATGAGTACAGGTAACCAAGGAAGCCAAAGGAGGGCACTAGGTCCCCTCAAGCTTGGAGTTACAGGCAGTTGTTAGCTGCTTAATGTGAGTGCTGGAAACTGAACTCCAGTCCTCTAAAAGAATGGTATACATTTTTAGTACCTGTCCCAAGTAGTCTATACACCTAGTATTCTTGATTTTTTGCTACTTGGGAAAAAAAGTAAGAATTTAACAAATAAGTAGATTCACACAATAAAACAGTACTGGAATGACCATCAAAATCCTATTGTCTTAGCTGGTGGTACTCACAGACCTTCAATCCATGGAAAACCCACTGGGCAACAATTTGGGAAGGCATTAGGAAAGAAAAGACAAGCAATTTTTTTTTTTTTTTTTGGTTTTTCAAGACAGGGTTTCTCTGTGTAGCTTTGGAGCCTATCCTAGCACTCGCTCTGGAGACCAGGCTGGCCTGGAACTCACAGAGATCCGCCTGCCTCTGCCTCTGCCTCCCAAGTGCTGGAATTAAAGGCTTGCACCACCAACACCCGGCTAAGACAAGCAATTTTAACAAACGTCAACTGTCAGGTCAAAATAACTTCCAGAGGATTAACCAATCTGTGAAAATGATGGTTTGGCCGGAATAGGTTCAAATTGTTGGAGTGGTCTCTGAGGGCAACAAAAGCTTGCCACTCAGAAGGTCAGTCTGAGGTTTGATTGGTGGAGAGGGGGACAGACCTCAGGAGCAGTGTGCTCACTGACAACAGTACCTGGAAAACTGCTGTTGCAGGCCACGCATCTGGATCCTGTTACGTTCTGACTCCAGGGTCACCTCCCGTAACCGCTCCTCACTCTGTAGCCGTAAGTGTCGCTCCTCTTCCAACTCATGTATCAGCTTCTCATGCTACAAAACACACAAGGGCAAGGGCTTCAGAAGGTGTCCATGCAAAAACAAGACATAAGGAGAGCTTCTGTTTCTTAAGTGCTAACCTGAGCTTCATATTCACAGCTACTTGTGTAGCTACGTAAAATGTGCATACACAGAGAAACACACACACACACACACACACACACACACACACACAATGATGATAACAGTTTTGTGAAGCAAATTCTGTCATTAACCTCTTGTTATACACCAGGAAATCAAGGATCAAAGACCTACACATGTATTCAAGATCATAGAAAATCTGGTCTAGAGAAATGCCTTGGTAGATAAAATGTTTGCCTTGCAAGTATGCAGAGGACCAAAGTTCAGATCCCCAGCACCAACATAGAAGCTGTCATAGCCACAAGCACTCATATTACCAGTGCTGGGGAGCAGAGATGGGTGGACCCAGGGAGCTTGCTGACCGGGCATTCTAGCTGTGTTCAGTGAGAGACCCTGGATCAAAAAATAAAGTGAAGGGAACATATCTTAATGACATCCTCTGACATCATATGGGTCCCGACAGGTGAGCACAGGGTCACAGAAAGCAGATGGTGAAAGGATGTGAGCCTGGATGGCTTCATTAGTGAACTTATTTCCATTAAACCAAGTTGTCTTTGTAAGGAACTGTGACCACCGCACCTCCATCAAAGTCACAGTCATTCAGATATAAAGCGTCACTGTCTGTTCAGAATGACTTCATCTCTTCAATCTCTGGCATATCATTTAAAGGAAGTGTCACTGTTTGCATAGAAGGGACAAGCATCTCAAGTTAATTAGCTTCTGAAACTGTGGGTCAGAACCCCACATCCAGTCACAGACTGATCATGGGAGTCATGAAAGTTTTGAAAACAGTGAACATTTATGAACATTCAACAGACAAAATTAACTTAAAATGAAACAAAGAAACTGAAGGGTTTGTGACAGCTCGTATCCATTTTGATTGTGCTGTTTCCTTGCAGCCTCTGTTCTGAAGCCACGGTGTGTACACCCTGCACTGCACAAACTGTCCTGACATGCAGCACCAAGGGACATTGCCTGAACACCTTGGCTCAGATTTAATGCTCCATTATTTGCAAATGGCAGTATTTCTTTGTACATGCATAGTCTGTTGACCTTTCAGAAGCATAATGCTTTAGTTACAGAGGACAGGGGTGTGTTCTGCCATCATTTCTCAGCATGTGTGGAACTGATTAGTGCATCACTGCCCTGGACTATGTCTGGATGCTTGTTTAATGCTTGCTGTAGAGTTGTCTACTTGAGTATCCTACAAGAAGGAATTTAATAGATTCTAGCTTGGGATTGGGACAGGATTTCTAGCAATTTATGAAATATGAGTGCAGACACACTTTTGTCATTTTATACTATATATTAATGTGAAGCACTGAATTCAGTATTGATGAATACAAAATCAAAATATCCATCAAGTCTGAAGATATTCAAGACATTCTGTGTACTCTGGTATTAAATACTTAGCCAAGAGTTTTAATTATTTACATCAAAATAAACAAGGAAGTCCATTTCATTAGTATGAGAATTTGCTTTCATTTTTAGTAGATAGTGAAATTACATATACACAGAAGAATGGATTTTAAACAAATCACTATGATTTATAGTCAGCATGTTTTATTTTATACACCTGTATACCTGTGGCTACATAAAAGTGTCTCAATCAAAAAGTGGTCCTGACAAAAAAAAAATTAAGTAGCCCTGAGTTAGAATATAGAGTTAAAGAGAAAAATTCTCACGAATTTGCTTTAATTTTGTCCAATCAGGTTTTCAAAGGTTAAAAACAGGCCAAAACACTCACTGCTTTCTTAATCCTGCCAAACTAGCTGATCTCACAAAAGGAAATGAATAAGTGACAGGCCCAGAAGAGCCTGGTCCTGAACTTAGCTCAGATGCTACTGATAATACAGACTCAGCCACAGCAATGCCATCTCCAGTCCCTTTGTGTTTTCTTCTTGTTATTGTTTTTCAACTGTGGCACCGCTGTGGTCATTGCTGCTAAATGGAACACTCCGAGTACAGATTAAACAATTCTATTGTAAGTGTCAGGTATGTGATGGTTCATCACAAGTGTCTTCCATTCCTGTGTGAGGAAGAAGAGAATCAAGGGGCTCCATGTGGACATAAATCAAATGCTGTGGCTCTCATGAATATCTTTGCAAAAGAGCCTTTGCAAGAATAGAAAGAGCAAACATTCATTTTCTCCAGCCTGATTTTAACAGTCTACTCATTTTTACATGTGTAAATGTTTTGCCTGCATGTATGTTCATGTGCCAAATGAATACCTGGTGCCTGTGAAGCTCAGAAGAAGGCATCATATCCTCTGGAACAGGAATTATGGATGGCTATAAGATACCCCGTTGGTGCTATGAAACAAACCTGGTCGTCTGCAAGAACAGCAAGTGCTCTTAACCACTGATCCATCTCTCCAGACCTCCACCTTGAATTTATGGAGATCTCAAGAAAGAATCAGAATATATTCTACAAGTGTACAGTCATACTCTGAAAATACTTACACATCTCCCAGCCGCGGGGCCTTGGCCATGTGCTCCCTCTGCTTAAAAGGTCCCTGAGCACCGGGGACATGGCTCAGTGAGTCAGAAAATTTCCTGATCAAGCTTGACTCTGACTCTTCCAGCACACACCCACATAAAATGTCATGTGTGTCCACATGCGCCAGTTACCCAGCACTGGGAGGAGAGACAGGAAGGTCACTGCGGTGGAGCAGTCTAGCTACAGGTCAGTGAGCGACTCTGCCTCAAGGGAATAAGGCAGAGAGTAACAGAGCAGGACATAAGACATCCTCTTCTGGCCTCTGCACACACATGCACAGGTAGATGTAACATCCAGACACACACTCATTCACTTATATACTGCTCCTAAGACATCCCCAAGGGCTGTTTCCAGGCTCAGCCTTCAGACATACCCTTCTATATCACTTCCTCCTCTCCAATGCTGAAATCCACAGCACCCACTACATCCACTGCATTTGAGATTACTTTTCTATTATTTTCTTCATAAATCTAGAGCTCGATCAACACTTGTCTGAGATTAGGATCACCTCTCCCGTGCAAATAAACTTTGTGTTTTTATATCATTACCTAATGCACAGTAGTGCTGACAATAGTCCCTCTTGTTGACTTTGGAGCTGGCCTTTTGGCTAAGTCCTATCTTTGTTCCCTTTGAATTCTACCAGTCATTTACTTTTACTGACATCAGATCAAATCAGAATAAAATCTTCATTCTGTCTTCTTGGAATATGACATTCTGGAAGCTTTAGAAAGCAAGGGAAAGTGTATTTGTGGAAGGAAAATGTACTAAAGCTAATTCTCTGCAAAAATGGTTAAAATGGTAAAACGGTGTTGTATGTTTTTACATAATAAAAATCTTACCCTTTATCAGTATTCACACACAAACAACATCTTTTACATGCTAATTGACTGTATATAAGGATCATGTATGGTTGCCCTTTTTATAGAATTTGGAAGACTAAGATTTGAGTCCATGATGAGGTGGTGATGGATGGAAATGAAATGTATTAAACAGTTCAAAAGCACATGCAATGGGAAGTGACAAGTTCTGCAGAGAAAAGAATAACCTTCCTTAATTCAAAAACAAACAAACAGGGGCTAGGGCTGGGACTCAATTGTAGAGTGCTTGCTATTAGGCCAAAGGCCCTGAGTGCCATTCCCAAGACAGCATAAACTGGGTGGCATGGCCCATATTTACAATCTCAACACCTGGGAGGTTGAAGAAGTCAGAAGGTCAAGGTCATCCTTGTCATCCTTGGTTACTTAGGGAATTTGAGGCTATCCTGGGATATATGAGACTATATCAAAAGATAAAAAAAAAAGGAATGAATGAATGATTTTTTTCACTGTGATAGTGAAGGGTCCAATATCTAAATAGGGAAAACTTTCTTTTCCACATGAATAATCTTCAGGTCACTTTGATGATGTTATGCCAAATACGGAAACACACACACACACACACACACACACACACACACACACACACACACACACCACAGCGAATATTCCAGAGAATTAAAATTATGAAGGCAGGAGTAGTTCACTAAGAAAATATTCTTTACATGTGCAATCACAAAAAGATAAACATGGTATGTACTCACTCATATATGATATTTAGACATAGAACAAAGGATTACCAGTCTACAATCCACATTTCCAGAGGAGCTCGGAAACAAGGAGGACCCAAAGAGAAGATTGCGTAGTCCCTTGAGGAAGGGGATGGGGACAAGAACCCCTGAGCAAAGTGGGAGCCTGGGGAGGAGAGGAAGGAGGTGGGAAGGGAAGAAGGGGAGGGGGGAGAAGAACAAGACGACTGAGACAGGAGAGGAATAGAGGAGGGCAAGAAAGGAGATGCCTTGATAGAGGGAGACAGTACAGGTTTGGAGAGAGGTCTGGCACAGGGAAAATGTTAGGGGATTCACCGGGATGACCCCAACTAAGAATCCAGGCAATGGTGGAGAAAATGCCATTGATGCCTTTCCCTATAATGAGATTGATTCCTACCTTGGTTACCATTCCTAGAGACTTCATCCAGTAGCTGTTAGAAACAGAAACAGGCACCCACAGCTAAGCACTGAACCATACTACTGGAATCCA